TGTTGTGGATCAACTGTCTAATAGCTAGGGTTCATTTGGTATTTCGGCCTACCATTCACTTACTGATGTATTGATAATTTTAGGTTGTAAATCTGTGGGACCTTCATGACTACAACTGCAAGATGGGTGTGCCTACAAATGAGGCAATTGAAGCTGTATGTGTTATTCGTACCACATCTCCTTTTTCTTCATGTTTGCAAGGCAAGAAAACCGATCCGCTTGCATTCCAATTTTTCACCGTCGGCGAACATGGAATAGTTCGGATATGGAATTCTCAAGGGTAAGGAAGTTTATTCGTAAACACATATCTATACTATATTATAAAGCATTTAGGTAAAAACTCTTAAAACCATTTTTAACAAGTGTCCCAAAATAAGTGTCCACTTTCAAAATAAGTGCTTACTTTCCTATTTTACYCTTAATTATGAGATGGAGAAATTTATTACCCTCTTAATTATTAGGGATAAAATTGTCATTTAGTTAATTAAAAAGTGTAATGATTATCCATTTCTTAATCTGTTTGTCTTGTTCATTCTGGACAATTGTTTTGGGATGGAGGGAGTATTTTATAGTTATAATGTGCACAACATTCTTTGTAAGAGAACGATTGTAAGTTACAAGTGACTGTGTTTAGGTAAAGTCAATATCCACACCAAATGATGTTAGYGGTCCCCATATTTTCTTAATATTTGTAATTTTGATTTGCAACAGTGCAGTCTGTTTATTTCAACAAGCATCTTCGGATGTTACTGTCAGCAAAGAGGATGAGGAGGAAGCAAAAAGAGGTTTCACATCTGCTGTGATGTTGCCCTCCGATCAGGGGTTGTTATGTGTGACTGCTGATCAGGAATTTCTCTTCTATTCCCCAACCRAAAGTTCTCAAGGAACATTTCAGTTGAATCTTAACAAAAGGCTTGTAGGATACAACGAGGAAATAGTTGACATGAAGTTTTTGGGCGTTGAAGAACAGTTTCTTGCTGTTGCTACGAGTGTTGAGCAGGCAAGTTGCTAAGGCTGTTATAGCATGTTAGATGTTTATTAGGGTGTGTTTGCTACATGGGACAAGATGGAATAGGATAGTACAAAACTTATTTGGTGCAACATTAGATTGTGACGGGACRAAAATGCAAACTAGTTGTAACAAAAATCAGATATGATTCTAGATTTGTATTCTAATGTTGGATACAAAAAACTAKATTGGAGCTAATTTCGAGTAACATGAAGTGAATATCGGATTTGATTCTAGATCTGTATTTTAATGTCGGATACTTGCAGGTACGAGTGTATGATCTTTCCTCGATGTCGTGTTCTTATGTATTGGCAGGCCACACCGACATTGTACTATGTCTGGATACGTGTACGACAAGCTTTGGAAGAACACTAATTGTAACGGGGAGCAAAGATAACACCGTGAGCTTTCTTTTGTTTATATTTTGGTGKGTTTGCTCAGTTGCTTGTGCTAGGGTTTGTAAACCAAAACCTTGAGGATTGGCTGAACTGGCTTGGATACCCTCGGTTACAAAAAACCAAAAGCTACTGACTGTGTTGGTTATCCATAATGATTTGAAAGAACTTGTTTTCTATACGAATTTGATATAGCAAAAAGTTCATTTAAATGTTTTTGCAATGTTTTGCTTGTGCTTTTCATGAAGTTACAGTCCATTTTTATTGTTTTCACAGGTAAGATTATGRGATTCCGACAGCAAAGGTTGCATTGGAGTTGGAAGAGGTCACATGGGAGGCATTGGAGCTGTTGCTT